GCTTCCTTAGGTTAGAATGAAAGATTGACGAAACTTTCTCTGATAAAAATGGCTCGGAATCCCTGCTGATAAGGGGTGACAATAGATCCAATTAAATTAGTTTACTTATCAACTTCAATCTTGTTTTATCTATATCTATATCATAGCCGTTTGCTTTTGTTTGATTTTAAATCAGTCCGGCAAAATTAGAGAGGGTTTTCTTTATTATATGTATATATATATACATGAATACACGTGTACATAAATACGCACTCACCAAGGCATATACATATATTAGATATTTCTTATATACGAGTACATACATGCATGTACACATATGACTGCTCAAACATAAACATCTGTGTATATATACACATACACACACACACGCGTATACACATTATAGATTTTTTATGTATACTTGTACACATATATACATACAGATATTTCTTATAACTATACCTGTACATAGACATACATGTTTATGTGAACCCTCATATATACCCGTGCACACGCACACATATGCGTATATATACACACTATAATATATATATATATATATATATATATATATATATATATATATATATATATTATACCATTTTTTTTCAAAACAGAGGGAAGAATATGCGAAATAAAATGCACAAAATGCCCAATGATGTACATCGGTGAAACAGCTAGACGAATGTTTCATATTGGGCTAAAGCGTTTAAGATCTATTTAGTCTGTTTCGTCTTTTCATTATCTATGTATTAAGCCTATTCAATATCTATTTATATATGTATCTATCAATCAAACTGATCAATTTTTATCTGTCTAGCCTGTTTGATATCTATCTATCTATCTATCTATCTATCTATCTATCTATCTATCTATCCTATTCAGCATGTATGTATGTATGTATCTTTCTAGCTAGCTAGCTTGTTCAGTATCTATCAGATTATCTGACTATTTATCCATCTAGCCTGATCAACATCTATCTATCCTGTTTAGTATGTATGCATGTATGTATGTATGTATGTATCTATCAGGCTAGCTGGTTCAGTATCTATCTATCAGACTGATCATTATCTATCTATCCTTCCATCTAGCATGATCAATATCTACCTAGTCGGATCAATATCTATCTATCTATCTATCTATCTATCTATCTATCTATCTATCTATCCTGATCAGTATCTATCTATCTATCTATCTATCTATCTATCAACCTAATTAATATCTATCTATCTCGTATTTACGTAGTTACGGATGTCAATCTGAAACCCCAAATCAAAACTGACACGATCATGCCGATCGTAAAGAAGGGCTGTTATTCAGTAAGATGAATAAAAATGATATAAATTTCAATGAACGAGAACAAACTGCAAAATAAAAGGAAACAAATGAAAGAAATAAAATAAGAAAATAAAGAGAATATTATTGTAACCACCCGAAACAACCAATCTCAAATGAGAATGTTAAATTCAATACTTATGGTTTTACAACAGCAATAATATTATTATAATTACTTTTTGTGTCTTTTATATATTTATTTATCCTATGTAGGCTAGATCTAATTTCGCGCCAGTGACGCTATTATAGAACACAAAGAGAGAATAATATTTTTTTCTCTCTCTCTCTCTTTCATCTTCGGCATTTTTATCAGCCAGACTCAGTTTTATTTATTTACTTTCTGCTTTGTGCATTCGCTCAAGAGAATAAAATTATATCATATAATGTTTTTCCGTCTACCAATGCAATGTTTGTAGTTCAATATCATTTGAAGAGATGATATTACATGAAATTTACAATTCTTGAAAGACAAGAAAAACGATGCATATACACACGCGTGTCTTTCTACGTAAAACAACTTTATATGTGTATGTATGCACACACACACACATATATATATATATATATATATACATATATATATATATATATATATATATATAAATTCACACACAAAAAAGAAAATCACAACCAGATTTCGTTCAGAAATATATCTCTTCTTACGCCCCCCGCCCAGCGAATTTAACGCTGTGAAAGAGGATGACACCATTGATTAAGCAGCTGTGTTTGTTGTGAAATTTAATATAAATTTACAAACGGAAGAGGTGGGTACAACCTTTGTAAACAGGAGAGTTCAAAACGACAAAACATCTAACCAATCAGAAGAAAGGAAAAATGTATCCTTTTAATGTTGTTTGAAACGATTTTTTTTTCTGAATGTTTTTGCTTTGAAAGTTGGAGATGTCTGTAAAAGTTGTGACAATGTCATATTTACGTGTTTGTTTTTTTTTTTTTTTAATGTTTTCATAACGAGACTTACTGTTTTCATTATGACACAACCAATTTTGTATATACGGAACAAAAAAAAACCGTTTAATGCGACTAATTTTTGGGAAGAGTATTTCATGTGAAACATTGTTTTTTTTTTCGGATTATGTTAAAGTGACATTTTAGTAGCTACTTTTTTTCATACTCTTCCATGCAGAGAAAGCACTAAGTGATAATAACAATTTTTAAACCGGAACCCATGGTTATTAGCAATATTTCATATATTTTCGGCATGAAGTCCATATAGGAATGAAGACATAGAATATCTACTAACCGCCCTACGCGATCAGATGTGGCACAAGGCCGAATAATTTGGGGTATCCGAGCCCGTAGGCTCGTTCAAATATTCCCCGTAGAATAAAATGGGATCAGGTAGCTGTTTCCCGAGATGAGACTCTGCCTTTCGACAGAGCCTCGTCTAGGGATCCTCTCTGCTCGGAGACAGAGAGTTTGACCTAATTGCTTCAGAAATATTGGTTAACCAGGTGAAAATAATAAGGGGCTAAAATTGACTCGTTTACTCCAAGAAATACTCACCAAAATCACGCACTCATCCAAATGCAGTAAATCGACCATGGCTGTTTTTATTTTCTCAAAAATTGTGAGCTTGATCGTCAATTTCTGGTAAAAATAGGCCTAGTTACGCTTCTGGAGAGGGACAGTCGGCGTATTATGCAGCCTCAACCGACAGGTTGGATATATCTAGTTGAAGTATTGCATTCAAAATATTTAGATTTCGCCATTAAATGAACTATAGGCATTGATATGCAACTAAACAAAATCAACCAACCATAGAGTAAAATTCATCAGAACTCTTGCCAAGAAAATATTTCTAAAAAAAAAAAAAAACACAAGAAAGCTACGGCTAGGCAGTGGGAAGGTGACTAAAGCAGAGATGCCAGGTCAGAACCTGGAACTTTTCAGATCATTTGAAACTGTCAGTTGTGGAGGAGTGCGTGTGCTGAACGTTTGTTATTACAGTGTAACCTGGATATAAGAGACCCGGATATAAGAGAAACCCGGATATAGGACAGATTTTCTCTGGTCCCAAATTAGAGCCCATACTTACCTAAAAAAAAAATACCAAACCCGGATATAAGAGAAACCCGGATATAAGAGACTTCTTCTCCGGTCCCGACAACTCTCTTACATCCGGGTTACACTGTATATTAAATTTTAGCCATTTTTTTTATTTTCTAATTTACATTGAGCCCTGTTTTCTACGTTGCCCACTTATTATATGTCAAGGCGCAATTGTTATCTATCTTCCTTATCTCCATAACATCCTCCGCTTACCATCTAATCTTACATTCGTGTCACACATCTCATTCCTTATAACCATTATAACAGTAAGCCTCTGCCTTGGGTGGATCTCGGGCCTTGTTTTTGGGTGAACATTATTTTCCAAATATCCCTATAAAGGCTAGCATTTGTGCAGAGAGCAGAGGAGCATGAAGAACTGCGAAGAACTTTGCCTCAGAAGAAACCATTTTCAGGGAATGAAGATAAGCAATTTGTGAAAGTTCGAAAGAATTGCGTTGTCAGCCCTGCAGCTTTTCTCAAAGAAACTAAGGCGAAAAGTACCTGCAATTGCATGCTGCCTTGGTTTTGAATTACAGGTGAGTAAAATGCCGATGATTGCTGTAATGGTCGCCGTTCTTGTACGTAGGAAGGATTTCTTTCTTTAGATAGACCCCAGTGCCTTCTGGTGTAGGTATGGATTTAATTTGAGGTCAAACTTCAATCAGAGCGAGAATGGGATGCAAATTATCGATGAAGGAATAGCAAATGAAAAAGAAGGCTAAAGGGAGTGAAGATGGGATCATTGATTATATTGATTAAAAGTACATAGGAAATGAGAAGACTGAATTATGTGGAATATATATATATATATATATATATATATATATATATATCCAGGTAAAATAAGAACAAATGGAGTATAATTCAACTGTACGTAAAATTTAATTTAAAAGAGAATTCAATACAGTGTAGAGCTAAATATTATTTAGTTTAGGATATTAAAACAAAAACATGTTAAAAATCGCTACACATTTACAATCATGTTTGAACATTACAAATGTGTCTCTTCGTCAGTATTTTAACATCGCCCGACGAGACACATGATTGTAATTGAAGTGTAGCGAATTTTAACATGTTTTTGTTTCAATATCCTATGATAAATAATTATATATATGTGTGCTATTCGTCAGTATTTTAACATCGCCCGACGAGACACATTTGTAGTGTTAAAACATGATTGTAATTGAATTGTGTAGCGAATTTTAACATGTTTTTGTTTCAATATCCTATGATAAATAATTATATATGTCTGTGTGTGTGTGTATGTGATAGGGGGAAGAATATGGTATATATATATATATATATATATATATATATATATATATATATTGATTGATTCGTCATCTACGACGTATCAACTCTTTGCAGGTTATTTAAAGCCAGGAAATATTTTAAAATTTTGATATCTTTTTTTTTGTAGTGGGGTGATAATAATGGTTTATTGATACAAGTATTACTAATCAACCCATATCTGGGAGGGAGTGGTGTATTTATTCTTTTCGCAGCGGCATTTGTGGGTAGCACAACAATATAACGAACCCAACGTGAATTGGAACTCAGTTCTTAGATTATCCGTTCCTAGTTGTTTTCCAATTGATCAACTCCCTCTTCAAGCTTATAGCACCTAGTATTTCCAAACGATCATCCATCTTGGTACTGACCATACTCTACGTTGCTTAACTTCGGTGATCTTACGGAAACTGACGTTTCAACGTAATGTAGCCGTCTGGCAATATGATATACATATATATAAATCAAAACAATGCTAGGCAACTGAAAATGAAAAGTAAACCACAATATTAGAAAAATATAATTCCATGATATCGTACATTTTCTTCATTTGGATATCTCGTGTACACTGGACTTAACACGCACAGTTCAAAGTTAACATAAAATAGGGCGTTATTTCAAATAAGAGTATCCACTATAATAACGTTTGAAGTAATAAAAATATTGGATTTAAAATAAGTAAAATTCTTTACAAATATTAATATATTTTATTTTTTTCCCTAAAGAACAGATGTATATGTATATATTTTGTTGCGGCATACTCGTTGTTTGGGTAAATATGTAGTCGTGGGAATCAACATTTTAGATAGTAAATATTTGCGGGCATTTGGAAAAGTTATCCGACAATCAAGATTGGCGGACCCAATGTGAGTCAAGGTAAAAATGAGTACAACAATACAATAAGTATAAAACAAACCACGCTGCATGTATTTACAAAAAGAATTACATGTGACGAAAGGACAAACCATCAAACTACTTATAAGAATGTGCTTATTTGTGAGTTTGTGTGTGTGTGTGCGCGCACGCGTGTGTGTGTATGCTCGTCCGTAACAACTGTGCGTGAGAGATTAAAAAAGTCAAGAGAGAAAACTATTAAAATGAACGTTACCCTGTGAGGGGTATTTTACGAATCTACGAAATACCTCTTAATACCAGAGTGAAAAAAATAGGTGTAAAAGAGTCTAGGGATAGAAATATACGACTTTTTTATAGACTAAAGGAGCGCCTCCTAGCGACGGTTTTTTTGTTGTTAAAGTCATGTAGTATAACCAAGTAGCAGGCGTCATACGTTTACCACCTTCATACAATGTATATGGAACGTTCAAATTTTTAAAGTCTCACAGATCTGATTAAATATAAATCGAGATACAGCTATGAGATGATGTAAGATGAACAGAGGACTCTTATTTATATAACGGATTGTAGATGAAATCTCGGATTCGATGAAGCGATCTCGATGGATTTTTAGTTAAGAGAATTAACCGCGAATAGTTTATTCTGATAGTAGGTTCATCCTGATTTGTATACAGTTAAAGTTAAACATAGAAGGGCAGGATGCTTGCATTAGAGCGCAGTGGGTTTAATGAAGATAATACTAATACGAAAGCAAAAATTGATGAGAGCCTGTTGTAGTTAGTGTTGGAGCAAATGGAAAAGTAGAATTTTTCTCTTGATCGGTATAGCCAAAGATGACTTCCAAAATTTAAACATGAAAATTTCCTTAGTGTCATGGGATCTTACCCATAATAATAATAATGGACTTAATACTTAATAAATACTGCGCCTCAGGAGTAGTAAAAAAGAGTCAGTGAGTCAGTCAGTAGTTCGAGTGAGTCAGTCAGTAGTTCAAGTCAAGTCAAGAGTCGAGTCAGAGGCAATCCGAAACAGAGTCGTGTTCAGACAATTACTGTAAGACATTGGAATAGTGATACTGGTCGAGACTACATTGTTCTCTCTACTAAACCTGATTGTTCGTACTAACACTTCTACTTCTCTGTATATATTCCTGTTGTAATATATCTGTGTTATTCCATACCTGTGTTCGAGTTCTTTATTGGTTCTACCTTGAACTATCACCGTGGTACAAGGAACCGGACCATAACACTTTGTATCAAAGAAGAATTTTGACCTGTTAATTAATATCAATCCCCTATATTAGAATGAATGCTGTGAATATCAAACCTTCTTAGAGCGGTAATCGCTGGGCATGTTCTTCGCAGATTAAGAGGTAGCTTGAAACAACAGGGATGTAGTACTATAGAAGCATGCTGTGAATACTATGGACGGTATATATAAACAACATGAAGTTCGCAGGAAAATAGAATACAAAAGAACATACCTTGAAATTTCCGGGGCACATAATGAGGAAAGAGGAGTTGGAGAAGTCGACACTTACAGGACATCCTATATACAAAAGGGGAGATGGTAAACTATCTACTGAGCTTGGATAAATGGGTTCTTCCACCCATTTACACAAGGACTGGAAAGAATAAGAAGTTGACAAAATTATTTAGAGCCACAAAGGATAGCAAATAGTGGAGAGCTATTATCACTGATTATAGTCGCTGTTTCAACTTCGATAGCTTAGTAGCTCAATAAGAAATTGAATTTGGAAGAGACAAGATTGTAAAAATCGGAAGATATAGGCGATGTAACTATAGCTAAGGTAGGGTTAACTTCCTTAAGAAAAATAATCTTTTTGTAGTTAATTCTGGAATGTGAAAACCCGGACTGAACTCTATTTTGTTCGATGCTTATTTAACTTAATTTACTTGACTTGAAAAGAACAAAGCTGCTAGCGGCGGTTGCTCCGATACCAGAAGATGATAAGACCGGACACGGTTTCTGGCATCGATGGCGACCATTATGATATACATTTTATGCGGTTGTATATATCTGTCCCCGAGATGAGACACAAGAAAATTTGCTCAACACTCATCATCCGGAAGTTGCTACACAAGGATCATCTGTGCTTCCGGTACGTGTTGTAGTTTCTGTACAAATAAACAGGGGATATTATTTTTAACTGTTCCTCGTGTTGTTTAAACAAATTAAAATAAGAATGACGAGAAATTAAAAAAAAAAGGCAAAAAATCAACGCGTAATTATAGGAATCTATTTTTCTTTTGCGAAGTGTCAGGACGTTGGCAATCATGCCACTCCACAATGTCTTGGCCTTTGTAGGTCTTAATAAATGTTTGTCGTTTTGTTGTCTCTCCAAAACCTTATTTGTCATCCATTTAATCAAGCTTGCCTTCCAGGTGACCTGTAAGTATCAAATTTTCCAAACCCTCTTTCTTCATTATGTGCCGTAGACATTTCAACTGCCACTCCCTGATATTGATTATAAGTGCCCTTTTGTTTCCATTATCTCTAAAACTTCGACGTTGCTTACCTGCACTCCATAGTATTCTCAGCATCCTTCTGTAGAACCACATTTCTGTTACTTCAAGTCTCTTCTTCATCTGGAATGAGATTGTGTTGCATTCACTGCCATATAGGTAGATCGATATTACATAACAGTTCAGTGGTCTTTTCTTCGTCTCTGACAAAATTCTTCTGTTTCTTAATACTTTGTATTCTTTAATACTTAGCTTAGATTTTGGAAGTCAGTCAATTAAGTACCACACGTTTGGGCTATCATGTATCTTTCGAAGATTTTCCCGCAGTAAGTTGCCATTTCTTTCTGCGGTAAACTGGTTGCCAACCAAGGCTAAAGGACCCAGTATGTCCTGTTATTCAACCCATAGCTGATAGAAGACATGGATTCGTACCTTTCCCAAGGATATTTGTGCGTAAGTGAGTATATCGAATTGCACTGGGATTCGAACTCGGTTCTCTGAGTTCTCATTCCGAGCCGATATCCATTACTCCACATTCCTATTAACATTTGGTAATAAATTCTTCTCCGAATTCTGAAACGTAGAAGACAAACTAAATACAGAGTGTCCCAAAAAAACTGACATCGTTTTAAAAGCAATTATCTTGAAAACTACTAAGTCTACCTCAATGAAATTGAACAGTTTAGGTGTTGAGCATCATAAGTTTATTATGGGACCGATTTTATAAGTGTTCAATATGTGTACCGCCTGTGACACGGCAAACGTCAAGCTCTTTCCAAACACGCTGTAGCATGTCTCCGGTAAAATTATCCAGAGCGGAAGTTATTCTCTGCTTGTGTTCATCAATGCTAGCAGAAACAAGGACTACATAGACCAGTCCATTCACATATCATTATAAAAAGAAATCATACAGCGACAGGTCCGGTGACCGCGGCGGCAATTTCATCAGAAAACTGACTTCATCTCCACACACTCGATCCATCTCGCTGGTAGATTCTCACTGAGATAACAAAAATAAAATATTAAATATAAAATATTGATCTGTTTTTATAAATTCTGTGAAAAATTGAGGTTATTTCCACAAGAATTTCATCCTGAGTAAGACGATAAACTACATGCGCGTCCTGGGTAAGACGATAAACTACACCCGGCAGCAAGGCCTCTGATCAGGAGGTTTTGAGGAGTGTAGAAACACCTCTCAATTGCTGGTATTCTCAGGTCCACCCTGGCCCAGGGTGGTAGTACCTGTTAGGGCCCCAGCTATGGGCAAATAGTTAACTATTACTAGCAATACATTTTTTGATAGTTAACTGTTACTAGCAATACATATTCTATTCTTACGAATCTATACTAAAGATGTTGTCGGCATTAAATTACCCATTGAGGTTGATATGCTGCAAAACAAAATAAACCAAACCAATCTAAACCAAAGAATATATATTCTATTCATACGAATCTATCCTAAAGATGTTGTCGGCATTAAATAACCCATTGAGGTTGATATGCCGTAAAACAAAATAAACCAAACCAATCTAAACCAAAGAATACATACTCTGTTCATACGAATCTATCCTAAAGATGTCGGCATTAAATAACCCATTGAGGTTGATATGCTGTAAAACAAAATAAACCAAACCAAACCTTCAACAAGAATTGCCAAAATTATTGGCCTGCGAAATGATTTCAAATTTTTGGGGCCACCTGTATATTCGTCATCATCCATAGCTGTTATTGAGAAATAAGTCTATAACCATAGAATAATATTTGACAATCTTATCTCGTAGACGATCGATAGTTTATCGTATTCGTTGTTTACTATAAGTGACACCGTCATATAGATTCAGATCTTTGTATTGTATATGATTGGGGTGTTAGTCATGCATTAAAATAGGTGTGTTCACCTTGTTTTGTTATTTAATATGCGACATATCTTCTTTTTTGTGCAGTGTCCTTTCCGCAAATAGTCGATTATTGTTCTCCACAACTTCCTATGCTTTGTAGCTCTTATCATATTTTTACGATTCCTCTCATTGTCTGCCACACATGGCCTCCTCAGAGAGGCGTCCCGCTGAATCCCACTCCTTCCTTGTGC